ACTTTCAGCATAACCTACCTCACAGAGTTGTTGTGCAAATCAAAACGGGGATAGGAGAATGATGTGAGCTGCTTTGATCACCACTGTGGAGAAAGACTGTACTTTTCCTAGGTAGAGGGTACAGAGAGGGGGGAAGAGATGGAAACCTGGACTCAGAGAGGCAGATAATGGTATGTTGATGGTTGGCTGGGAAGGAAATAGGGTTGCAGTGCTCCCTCTAAGCTGTGGAGACTTGTGAGCAAAAATTCTACTTTGTGAGCTACTGGCATTAAAGTTGTGAGTGAGCAACTTGGCTACTGCATAAATTAGTTTGTGCTGGAGCTATCCTTCCTGAGCTAAGACAAAAATGTGTGAGCTGGAGGCTAAAAAACTGTGAGCTAGCTCACACTAATTCAGCTTAGAGGGAACACTGGTTGCCACCTCCAGGTTGGGAAATTCCTGGATATTTGAGGGGTGGAGCCTGGAGAGGGTGGGGTTTGAAGGAGGAGTGGGACCTCAGAAGGGTAAAATGCCATAGACTCCACCCTTCAAATCAGCCATTTTCTCCTGGGGAACCATTGCTGCCATTCTCCAGGTGAGGGCTAAAGATCACTCAGAATTAAAACTGCTTTCCAGACAGCAGAGATCAGTTCCCTTGAAGAAAATGGCTGCTTTGCAGAGTGGACTCTGAGTCATTATACCCTGCTGAGGTCGCTTCTTCTCCTGCTTGGGTCCCCACTGATGTGTGTGGTGGAGATGTCTGAGGGGTAGATAACAGTATGTTGATTGGCTGGGAAGGAGATAGGATTGCTACCTCCAAAACAAGTACAATGTCATAGACTACCCTCCAAACCAGCCATTTTCTCCTGAGGAACCATTGTTGCCAATCTCCAGGGGAGGGCTAGAAATTACTCAGAATTACAACTGCTCTTCAGATGGCAGAGATCAGTTTCCCTGGAGAAAACAGTAAGCTCTGTGTCATTATACCCTGCTGAGGTTGCCACAGCAAATTGACGCTGAGTGCCCAAGGCCAGGGCACCAGCCCAGAGCTTCTTTCTAGAGTTTGTTGTATTTATTTCCACAACGGGCCTTATTCCTAGTATAATATAATTTCTAAACACACATCTGGAAAATAAACAGTATAAATAAATCCTGACTAGGTGATGTTATCTATAAATATTAAAGAAGAGAGAAAAGGAAAAAAACCCAAAATGTTAAAATAGAATGAAGTATTATTAATGCTGTTTTTTAAAAAAAATGTGAATATTTTGCAAAAAATACAAAAACCATTTCTACCTCATATGGTGTGGTTTGATGTTATCTAATAAAGCAGGCCATGGATCCCTTCACATGGTAACTGTACTCACACTTCATTCATTGATATTAGGGGTTTGCAAAAAAAAAAACTTTTTGAACCAGTTCTTTTTGGTTCAGGTCTCTTGGACCCAGAAAAATTTCACGATTACCAAAAAATCCCGATGGGATTTTTCCTGAATGTTTTCGGGTCCAATAGAACCCACAAGAAAAATATTGGGTTTTTTTTGTTTTTGTTTTTAAAGCCATTATGAAGCTGAGCCAGTGGAGAGCAATCTGCTCTGGGCACAGCCAATCCTGGCAGCGTTCGTTTCTCCTGCAGCCTAGTTTAAACTGGGCTACATGAGAAGCCAGCGCAAAGCCCAGCCTGTGGGGAGCAATCTGTTCCCTGCCACACAGCAGTTCCTTGGGCTGGCTTCTTCTGCATCCTGGTTTAAACCAGGCAGCATGAGAAGCCAGCCCCAAGCTGAGCCAGCAGGAACAGTCTGCTCCCCACCAGCGTATCTGATCCTCGGGCTGTCTTCTGTAGTCCCTTTAAACTGACAAACAGCTGAGAGGCTGTTTTCATATCTGCCCTGTAATTACTGAATATATCTTAAGATTTTTTTCGGGAATTTGTTCCCCAGTTTTCCTGAGAAAACCTGGATACATTTGAGATGCTGAAATCTACCCCAAAAATATTAGTAAGGTATTTTTCAGGTGCACTTTTGGCTTGGGGAGACCTGATTGGACACCCCTAATAGATATTATAATCTGGTATACAGTTTCAAATTTTTCCTTTTTTTAAATTCCTTTTATTTCATACCACAATCTATATGCATTTTAAAACTGCAGGCACAAAACATTACTACTCAGAGCAAGACAAATACAAAAACAACTCTCCATGATGCCTGCAGTACAACACTCACCGGCAGGGGGAAGACCACAGGAGGGAAGGGGATACAGCAAAAACAAATACCAGTAGTTCCTGGCAGAGAAGGCAGCTTATTTTCTGAACACAGCTCTGGTTGAAATGAACCTGTAACAGCTAGGGGGGCCACCTAATAGGTTTGCCCAAATGCTGTCCCCACTCCTGGGACAGCATCGCCTAAGGCAAATTAAACTGTAAGGTAAAGGTTTCCCTTGCTCAAAAGCAAGTCGGATCCAACTGTAGGGGGCAGTGCTCATCTCCAATTCCAAGCAGAAGAACCAGTGCTGTCCGAAGATGTTTCCATGGTCATGTGGCCGGCATGACTAAACGCCGAGGCGCATGGAATGCTGTTACCTTCCCACCAAAGCTGTACCTATTTATCTACTTGCAATTTCTTGCGTTCAAACTGTTAGGTTGGCAGGAGCTGGGGCCAGAGATGGGAGTTCACTCCATCACGTGGCACTAGGGTCTTGAACTGTCGAACTACAGAACCTTGGCATCTCAACTGCTGAGCCACCGCGGCCCCATATAAATTAACTACACACTTAACAGTACTAGGGAGTTATTCTCTCACTGGAATCCTAGTGCCTTGTGTAACTGTTGTTTCATTTCCTGTTTCCATAATTCTCTATCTGCCGTTCAAATGTTTCCTGATGTATGTGGAGCTAGTTTGGTGTAGTGGTTAAATGCGCGAACTCTAATCTGGGAGAACCGGGTTTGATTCCCCACTCCTCCACTTGCACCTGATGGATGACCTTGGGCAAGCCATAGTTCTGATAAGAGCTGTCCTTGAAAGGGTAATTCCCAAAAGAGATCTCTCAACCCCACCCACCTCACAGGGTGTCTGTTGTGGGGAGGGGAAGGGAAAGGAGTTTGTAAACTGCTCTGAGACTCCAAGTGAAGAGCGGGATATAAATCCAATCTCTTCTTCCAGGGCTCTTTTTGTAGCAGGTACTCATTTGCATATTAAGCGACACACCCCTAATGTAGCCAATCCTCCAAGAGCTTACAGTAGCTCCTGTAAGAAGAGCTCTGTAAGCTCTTGGAGGATTGGCTACATTAGGGGGTGTGGCCTAATATGCAGAGGAGCTCCTGCTACAAAAAGAGCCCTGGATCAATTAGCAAGTAAAGTCCAGCGCTGTAGGGGACCATATCACCCCAGTCGTGACCCATCTACATTGGTTCCAAATCTGTTTCCATGCACATTTCAAGGTGCTGAAGGTGCCTTGTGAAGCCAGCACACCTGAATACACCTAGAAGTCAACTATCCCTACCTAGACACCTACCTCTTTACAAATCTACCTGACCACTACAGTTACCTTCTGAAGCCCTGGTTTGGGTGCTCTTGCTGTCTGAGATTAGATGGGTCACAACCTGAGAAAGGGCCTTTTCAATTGGGACACCAGAACTTTGGAACTGTCTCCTAGGGAAACTCACCTGCCCCTTTCCTTTGCTGTTTTTCACCAGTGAATCAAGAATTTTTTGGGGTTGATCTGGTGTTCCTTCAGTGATCCTATTTTCCTGCTCTATTATTAATTGCTGTTATTATATGTGTGTATTTTATTGTATATTAAGTTGTTTGAATGATTTTTAATGATTTTAGGATTTTTTAAAGTAAATAAGAGGCTGTGAGGGTAGTTTTCCTGTTAAAGCCTGGACAACCATTGTATAATGTCTGAATCGCTACTTAAAGTATCCCTATGTTGTGGCTTCATTATGTGGGCTTTGGGCTCATTTTTGTCAACACTTCTTCCAAACAACTCAAAATTTAACAAGTTCAGACCTCCTTATGTCTAGAAAAGGTATTGTTTGTGTCAGAGTTCCTGTCAGATACTTGTCTATAGCCAGAGTTAAGATCAATCATAGATTTCCTCAAAGAGGATAGTGAACTGACATGTATACCCTTTTTCTTCCATTTCCTCTCCCTGCCTAGGTATTTTCAAGAGAAATAATTCAAGACTGATGGATGAAATTCTAAAGCAGCAACAGGAATTATTAAACCTTGACTGTTCCAAATATACCATAGAATTTGCAAATCAAGACAAAACAGATCAAGGTAAGAATGCCTGTGATTTTTGTTTTTGCTTTATACTGATGCAAAGTCAGCACTCATTCCCATTGATCTTTCAGTGGGAGAGGATGGTATCTCCATGAACACAAAAGGTCAAGTTGACTTCTAGGCATGTGTTCAGGTCTCTGAAATTGTGCATACATTTACACAACTCAGACATGATAAACATTCATTTGGACTTTACTGAACCATGGCACACTCAGCAAATACTGTCTAGAGGGTGTATGTAAAATTTAATCATTTGTAAGATGAATTTCAGATGCTGATTGAGGCATGTTGGGCAATGGATTTGATTGGGGAAGAAGGTGAAGGGGTAGAAAAATGCAGTGTTACTTATCATGAACTAATGGGGGGGTGCTGACTTTGAAGCACTGATGCCATTTTCTGTCTGAACTTTAATATCTTTGAAATATTTTATTACAGTTTTAAATTGCCAACCTACATTAAATGTGCTGTCTCCAGAGGATGGAAAGACGGATATAGTAAGAGCAGCTCAGAAATTTTGCCATTTAGTAGCACAACAGCAAAGAAAATGCACAGATCTGGATGTGAATGTCTTGGACAATTTACTAAGTAGTAAGTATGGTGTGGAAGTGATTTGTTTTACTTAATTTTAAAATGTATATTCCACATTTACAAAGTTCTGGGTACCATAAGGTTAACAGGCAACAAACATACTAAAATACAGTGTGATAAGCAATGAAGTGACCTGATAGAAACTGTAGAAGTATGCAGTCCCAAATGCATTCAAAAACCATACAAGGCAGTCTTAAACAAGCCTGATGAAGGATATCAATGTGGGTGTCTTATGGGTTCTTTCCAGCAGACTATTCCATAAGACAGGATCTGCAGTGAAGAAGGCACAAGCTCTAGCAGAAGCTGTACAGAACTGCTGAATGGAGGGTACTATAAGAAAAGCCTGCTGAGCCGACATAAATTGGTGAATGGGCTCATACAGGAAGAGATGGTCCTTCAGGTATACAGTTCATAGATGTCTTTTTAGATAAAGAACCAGCACTTTGCATTGAACTGAGGAGCAAACTGGAAGTTAATCCAGGTTCTACTAAAAGACAGGCAGGCATTTTTACATCTGTTGTAACTTGGCTGTCATCACAAAATTGGATAAAGCAGTTTTTGTCAACTGAAATGTATCTTTAGAAAAACTGTAAGACAGGCCTCTAAAATGCAACTTGAAAGATTTACCTATTTTGAATAATGTCAATAGGAAGACTGCTTTTATAATAGTAGTAATAGTTAAGATCATCAATATATCCAATTCTCAACACGGCCAAATCTGTGGATACTAAATCCAGAGGCTGAGCCATGACAAGACAGATTTTTCTGCTCACATTAAAAAGACCCAGGTTTGCAGAAAAGTGTGAGATTTTTAAAAAATGGGATTAAACTGAAGATGGGGGCAGATAAAGGGTAGGTTGGATGAAGGGTGGGAAGGAGAGAAGGAAACAAGAGGGAGAGACTTATGGAGGCTTTCAGTGAGGAGAAAGAGGAGATAGTAGGGGAAGGGGAAATGAGATGCCCCTTGTAAGTCCTTGTGATTCACCCACTTGTAAGTACCATATGAGAAGTAGTTTCGTGAATAGTGTAGATTTGTGAGCTTTTAACTAGTTTGAAAACATTAATTTGAATTTTACACTTGGAAGAGAGTGTGCTTCACTTTGATTAGATCTAGGGGTGTGCAAAAAAAAAAAAATCGACCCGATTCTTTCTTCCCACCATAGAGAACAATGGAGGGGATGGGGGCAACCTGTTTGGGGGCCCGTAGAATTGGACCCCCTGGTTCAGTATTCTTAAAACTTGGTGGGTATCTTGGGGAGAGGCTCCTGCAGCTACCCTGCGGGTTTGGAGCCTCTCCCTCAAACCCCCTCCCCTCCAGACACCAGAATATACCCTATGTTTTCGCCATTGACTTCAATGGCCCATAGGATATAATGGGGCCAGATTGCTGCCGAAATTCGGCGGCAATTCAGCAGAAAGCCAATTCAGTTCAGAGAATCTGAATCGGCCTGCAGCAGCCCAAAAGGGGCCCGAATGGGCCATTTTCAGGGGTGCATTCGGTTCAGACGAACTGAATGCACATCCCTAATTAGATCTTAAAATGCCTCTTAAATTACTTCAGAAAACTATGAATTTACTGAGGGGCCATTTGTTTGCAGTAGCGTGTTACCTCTTGAGTTCAAGTGTCTAGCTACAGCATGAAGATGGAAGTCTCTGTTTTGGGCTGGTGACACACATGGGTCCACAATTATATCTTCCTCTGGTGACCTGGTAGGCACATCTTCTAACCTGGCAAATGTCTGCTTCAGCACCAAGCAGGGAATAGGAAAGGGCTTGTCAGTCATGTCACATCATGGTGGCTTAAAGCACTAGGAAACAGGATTTCTTGTGCTTCTGATCCATTGTGTGAGTTCTTCCCAAGTCAGAGTAAGGCAGGGTCAGTGGTGACTGCAACCAACAGCTGTGGTTTCTAACATTAAAACAAAAGACAAAAAAAACCCCAACTCTTCTGTGTTGCAAAGCAAATGGCCATGATCCAATGAAGCTTTACATCATTATGAGGGGAAATTGAACAAATGGTTGTAGGCTTTCTCAAGTAAATGTGTTACTACTTTCAAGTAAATGTGTTCAGAATTTCAGGGACTAAATGACTACCTTCAACCTTTACTGGTATGCCTACTTACCAACATTCTTACGTGTTTCTTTTGAAAAGAGGGAAGTATGAAAAACTGCAGCTTCCATTGCTGTGCCAGCTAAACTAACACACAGTAGTAATTAAAATTTTAATATTGGCTTGGATTCTGCCTAGACTTTCTACTTGCATGAGAAAAAGGAGGTGACTTTTACAGTCTCCCCCCCCCACAGCAGCCCCAAATGCTGCTCTGAAAAGCTCATTGAGCACAGGTGACCACCCAGAATTGCTGGTGAAGTCAGAATCTGAAGTCTCCTGTAGACGAATGGAATTGGTAAAAGTCACTCCCCCATGTCCGTGGTGATTCTAGATGGGATCCAAGCCATCATATTCTTGGGGTCTCTGAAATTTCCTGGTACCGTCTGCAAATGTGCGTTACATATGATGGTGAAAATGTGTTAAACCTCTACTGAACTAAGTGGGTCTTAATTCTACAAACCAAACTTATTACTCCTTGTATAGGTACTAAAGGCTTTCCTGACCCTGACTTAATACTGAAGTTTGGTCCTGTGGACAGCATATTAGGATTCCTTCCTTGGCACATCAGAGTGACAGAGATCATGTGAGTGGACAGTGCCTAACAGTGTGCGATTAAAAATACTGTTCTTCAAATTTGGTGCAGACTTGTATTAAAAACAGATCAGGGTACATCAGTGTCTATAGATGCATTAATGAAAATTAAGTCTGTTCTTCCTTTCATTCTCTGCACTATGGACATTGGAAATGTTTTCTTCAAAGATACTTTTATGATTTCTCTTCCCTGATCGATGAGATGTAGCCTGTCAGTCTTTACATAAATGCAAAAAAAAATGTGTGCGGAAGCTATGGATATGTTTATATCCCTGAATTCACATGTAACAGAACAGGCATTGGTAGACTATTGTCAACCAAATAGGTATTTAGTAGTATAAAGCAGTATGGGGACAATTCAGGACACCCTAAGGAAGAAAAGCAGGCAGCATTTCACAGGACACTGTGGTATGCATTGGCAGCCTACTGAAGGAATGGTAGGCAGCAGTAGAATTGGCACTTCTGCCCTAGGTGCATATGCAGAAAATGTTGCTGCAGGGCATAATAGGTACAGAAGGAGGAGAAGGAAAAATATGTTACTCTTTAGTCTGTACATAAAGGGTCAGGAATCCTAGCTCTATGATCTGTTGTGTACATAAGATCTTATCCTTGTACTCCAGTTAGTTAATGATCTAGAATAACTACTATCCCTGTGTTTTGCATTTACTGTTCCTTATAAAGATTGATTTGGGACAATGGTATGTGTAAACAGCAGAAATTGCACTCGTCCATTCTTGGACAGGG